AGAAACCTTAAAACTTAAAAAAAAAAATTATATCTTGAGTATGAAAGCATTGTAATGTTTACTGATAATCTGCTAAATTCCGTTAACATATGCTTACTAATATAAAAGTTATAACACGAAAACTATAACAAGCACAAAATGGTTACAGGGTCAGTCCAAGGGATGGAGTCTATCCTGAAAGAGTTAATGGATTGCCTTGGAATTTGTTTTGTTTTGCATTTTGTGCAAAGCTACACGAGGGCTATCTGCGCTAGCCATTTCTAATTTAGTAGTTAAAGACAAGAAAGAAGGCAGCTAGTCATCACCACCCACCACCAGCTGTTGAGCTACTCTTTTACTGATGAATAATGGAATTCACCATCACATTATAATGCCTCCATGGCTGAAAGGGCAGGCATGTTTGGTGGGAAGGGGATTCAAACCCGCAAACCGCAGATTGTGAGTCAAGTGCCCTAACCACCTGGCCATGCCAGGCCTATGGCATGCGTAATTTTTTTTTGCATATAGAGGGCAGCAGTGAAATAGAATAGCTATTTATGTGAGAGGAGGTAATGTACTGTATTGGAAATCACTAAACTGTCATTCCTGTTAATAGCAGTCAGTGTGACCTGCAGCAGGTTGTTTTGGCTGCACGACACACTACCATGTATCTTGATCTCTTATAACACACCAGTTTAAAGAATGTTATTACACATTCACTCCCAAGGTCATATTTGTGAAATAAATATGTTGTTATATAATTTTAGCTATGTTTTTATTAATTTCAGAAAATGAGTGACATGGGCCTCTATGAAAGTCCATTTACTTCTAGGATTCTAGGACCAAGCCACTCACACTATTCACACTTTTTTTTCTTTCCAGATTTTTCAGAATTCTATAATAAATAACCCAGTTGAGAAATAAAAAAAAATATTTTCAAAAAGGATTTACAATTCAAATGTTTATTTTATAAATACAAAATTGATCATATATATGTATATGATCAATTTTGTATTTTTTTTTTCATTTGTATACAAGTGAGTTTTTTCCTCCTTAAACATTATTTCAAACCATAACAAAAGCTTAAGAATAAGCCTTACAAACCAGACTCAAATAGCCCTTTACAAATTTAAAGTACTGTGGATCACATTTGCGTGAAATGGATTTAACAAAATATTGTGCCATCACTGATATGTGAGTGACGTGGTACATTACCGTAAAACCAGTGAAAGTGTTAAGGTTAATAAAAATCATAAAAATGTATTATGATATAAGTTCTTCTTGGAAATGTTCTAGATATGAATAAATAAGAAATAATAAAACAAATTGATTCTGTACATTGTAAACCAGGAAATCTTAATCAAAACTGTTTACCATTTACATACCTGCACACTTAAGTGTTCCTAGATTATTAGGTTTACAGTTCTGGAAGGTTGGACACTGATTATCTTCCTTACACTGATCTGGTTCTTGAGCTTAAGAGTAAAGAGAAGTTCACCAAAAGAGATTTGTATCATTAAATTTCACAACACATTCAAACTATCATGCTGGAGCTATTTTTTTTAATGTTCTACAATGCTATAAAAAATAACTTCCTTTTCTACTGGCATTCTATCATCAATTAAAAAAGACTTGTCTAGACTGCATTATTTTGAATAAAGATATTCAGAATGTATTTCCAACAAAACAATTAAAACTACTGGTAATAAAATAAATTATTATCCACACATTATTTTATGTATTATAATCACATAATGTCATAATTAATTATGAAAAGAATTACAACATTTAAACACTTACGAATACAGGCAAGAAAATTGTTTGGATCTTTTACAAATCCTGGTTTACACTGACATCGATGTATATGATCAATCACTATGCAATCACTGTTAGCCCCACATGAAGCAAATCGACAAGCATCTGTAAGAAAAAAGGCATAAATATGCTTACAAGTAATAATACATATTCAACCTATAAATGGTTTTAAAACAAATGACATGGTTCTAAGTTTCTTCAACGTAACCTTAATGATTGAGTTGATATAAAATAAAATTTCATATAATATTCATCAAGTAGAAAATCAAAAATCCCAATTTCTTCTTTTATAAAAAAAAGAAACATTAAAAATTTATAGTTCTGATAATACAAAAATGTGCCTGTTTTGTTTAACCATTCATATTCCACACTGATAAAATTATACTTAAAAATATAAAAGGAGATACAACTTCGTAACGAACACAATAAATATCAGAAAAATCTTACACCTTTGTTTCTGTGATATAATGAACTAACAAAGAATACTAAGTTTGCTCAAAATAAATTTAACTTTCAGTTATTTAGTCAAATGTCTGAGTTTGAACATTAATAAAACGATTATAAGGATTTTAACTTCACTTCTAATTAATGCATGCGAATAAAGGAATGAAAACAGATATCTGAAAAAAAAGTTGTCAACCAGTATGGATTATTAGTGGCAAGAAACAAATAATAGTAGTTTACATTTAGATAAATACAAAGTAAGAAATTCTATTCTGTGACTAATTAAAAGTAATCTTTACAATTCTTATTGCTTTTTTTACTTCTGAGAAAGATCAAAGATCTCCTAAAATAAACAAAATGGTTCTAAAATGAAAGTAAACATATTACAGGTGTATCCCATTGTTTATGTGCTTCAAAATAAATTCTAAGTCATTTGGTAATTTTTGACACATAAGAGTGAAACGTTATTTATATGTATAATTTAAAGATGTAACATGTCTTTCAGAGTTGTTAAAAGTCAACTATATTTTAAAGAAAACGCTAAATATTCTATAAACCTTTTGTATCAAAATGTAAATTTGCATTATATATAAACTATAATTTTGAACATTATTTGTTTTTTCTTTTACAGTTAAACTTGTATACTATTGGAAGATCTGAATAACTTACCAACACAATGTTTAATCCCACTATTATCAGGTTTACATACATCTTGAGAATGTTTACAGTCTGTATCCTGTTCACATTCATCATTAGTAGGTGCTGTCAATAAATTACCATTATTAGTGTTATTTCATTAAAAACATAAAGATGCATATTTAGCTTCCAAATCTTATCATACTAAAGAAAGATATCTCCTGTATAAATAAATGAAAATGTCAATATAATGAATCAATAATTAAGACAAAGGATATATTTGTTATAAAATAACCTTGCAAGACATTAGCAATATCTAAATAAGGTCAGTAAATGTCTGAAATACGTATGTATTTACAGTTGAGTTCTTCCAACTTACGTTTACATCCATTCACAAGATTATATGGATCTCCTTTGTGATCTGGTTTGCATTCACAGATAATCTCCGAGTTTTCAAGTTTACACATTGCATTAGGTCCACATGTGATAAAATTACATGCATCTGATAATAAAATAAGATACATATAAAAAATATTTGTATATTATGAAATTTTTGCTCCCTTAGATACAAATTCATACAAATTATTAGTGGAATTGCAATAAATACCAATTACACATATGAATTTTTAAATACTACAAGAGTTCATGAGAGAAGTATGTCCAGTAAGAGGAGAGGAGCATCATTTACTCAGTAAACAGAAATTAAAAAAAGACAATCAAAGTTTTCATTTTTATGTCCAAATAATGGCTATATAAGAACTTACTCTAAATAAAACGTTTCTATGCACTGTTGACAAAATATGCAAACAAAACGAACATTGTGCTTATTTGAGATTACATGCCATATTTCTAGGATTAAATGTAAAATCCAGCAAATATTTAGAATGGGTAATATAATATTAATAATAAGGGAAATACGACTCTGTAAATGTGTGAGAATCAAGTACAACTTAACTGTTTAAAGAATTTGAAAGTTATTTTATACTAACTAAGCTTGTGAACGAATTAAAATACAGTAACTATTTCTAAGCTGTGGCTGAGAAGTCTCCAGGCAGCTGACTGTCTGAAAGCAATTCTAATGTTTAGGAGTTAATTAGTCTGTTAAGAAAAGTTAAGAGTCCACATTCAGGATGCACAAGTGCTCTGTAATTTGTTACGGAAGTATAAAATAGAGAAAACAACTTTCTGAGTTTTTCTTGTGGGTGTATTTAGAGAATGATTTTTTTTTTGTCTCAATGTGTGCAAGTGTAGCTAATTGCATGAAAATATAATTCTACATTCATATGTGAAATTTTGCATTGTAGAATATCTGTCAGAATATTTGTATATCTGTAGAATATTTGTTTATGTTTTTATGATTTAAGCCATGGATCAGTTTTTGGTGTTTGGATATTAATTAGTTTTCATGTTGATAGAATAAGGAAAGGTCTAAGTTACTGATAATGGAGTCATAAGTGATATTCATATTGGAGAAAGATAAAACTGATGTGAATTTATCTTCCAAATTTCATTTGTTATATTTTATTTTTATTCATTTCTTTTGCCATTCTATTTGTGAGTTAAAGTTTACTGATACAGTCTCATGGGGCAAGGCAATGCTGGAGTAGGTTATTCAGTTGCTATAATGTTTAATTTATTCAAACACACATTTGTTTTTAGTCAAGCATTAAAGCTGATTTTTCTAAACTTCTAATCCTGACTTTACTTTTATATCAAAACTAAATTTAACTTTTTTCTTTCCAATTTCTCATTTTAAAGGACTAGTAACTGGCTTATCTCAATATCACTTGGACCAACTGACAAAGGGACATCACAATATCTAAGCACCTTATGTTGAAATAATAGGAATTGCACTATATTCTCTATAATGAGAAACTTTGTTCATTCAATTTAAATAATGAACTAAGAATATTATTTAATAAATAGTGGCATTTATCCCTTAAAGAACAGTTGAATGGTGAACATGAAACACAATAAGACAATTGTTATCATGATTGAAATGTTGATCTGAAATTAGGTTTATTGATTTCAGTGCAAAATATCCAACTGCAGTTTATACTCATTCTTGCTATCTTTAGATATTTTCTAATACATTTTCTAAATAAATAGCAACATTGATAAATTCTACAGAGTTCAAAAATATTTGTAACATATTCTTACCAAAACAATCCAAGGTGCCAATTTCAGTTGGTCGACAAACATCATTTTCACTACAGTCAGAGTCATCTTCACAGACATTTGGCAAGGCTGACAAAAAAAAAGTTTTATTTTGTATAAATAATTTAAACTCATTCATAGAACAGAAATATTATTTGTTATATTTCATTCACAGTAAAAATTATGCAAATAATAATGTTCAGTTCTTTACATATTATTAACTTGGTAGTATGTTATAGTTTTCACTATAATAATAAGTAGTAAGATCTTACAGATACAAATAGTGTACAGTTTCCTAAAATGTACTTGATTCTTCCAAGTTTTAAAAATGTTTTTTTTAAAAAAAAATCCAGTATTTAAATAGTACATGAAAACTTGAAAGTTACTATACATTTACAGTGAATAAACCAATACAAACAAGTTCTAATGAGTTTATAAATCCTGACAAAGTACAATGAAATAAATTTACTCACATGTACAGACATCACTTGGATCTCCAGTTGTTCCTTCAGGACACACACATACAGCTTGATGGCTGTTTGCTTGACATGTAGCTGAGGGTTTGCACTTGGCATATACACAGATCACTATAAATCATGCATGGGTGAAATAAAGTTATTTGAATTTTTATTTCTTGGTAAATACTATTTAATACTTCAATCTCAAAATATCATGATTATTACTTTTTAAGGTTTTTAGTTTAATCAAACACATTGTTACAAGCCTTTAAGAGAAACAATTAAGTTCTAGTTTTTCTTTTCATAGTTTGTGCAGTTACTAGTAGTAAAAATTGTTTATAGTTTATGTTTATATGTACAATTTAAATGCCACTTTATTTAATCCTATTAAGAATAGGCGTATGAAATATTAAAGTACGTTCATCTATTATTCTGTAAACTTTGGATTTCTCATCATAGCAGCTAGAAATATTTGACAATTACAAGGTGAGAATTATGCAAAAATATGTTGAAAGAAGTTTTTACTTACAAACACATTTTCTAACTTTATCCAAGTCTTCACGACAAACTTTATCAGGATCACAGTTTTCATCAGCATCACATTGATGTGGAACTACAAGAAAATTAACTCTAAATTAACCAAGAGAGACATGTGTAAGATGCTTCTGAATAACAGTTGCTATTACAAGTGTCAGTCATAAACTATCAAAAATCATAAAACTTCTTTTGAAAAACTTTACAAAAACTGAATCTCTACAACTGGGAGATAAACAGTAAACTTAAAGCACCCCAAAGTAACTGTAACTTTTAATTACTGGTAGTATAAGAAAAAAGAATTATGAAAGATTTACAATAAGGATAAAAAAATTCAAAAATCTCATACCAATAACTACAAGTTTCCCTTTTTCATTTGTACAAACATGAAAAATTCACATGCAAGTCATTTTTTTCATAATTTATTGAGATATCAAATGAAAGTTAACGTTTTCCTAAATTGAAAATGTATTTCCAATAATGCTTACCTCCACTGCCACTTATAGCTATTACTCGACCTCCAAGATTTCAACTTTGCCCATCTAAGCATTGGTCTGATTT